TTCGTAGAGACGTCAGACCCAGATTTGTCCTGAAGAGTTAAAAGTTACATAAACTTAGTTGTGATTCTTTCACCTTCTTCTTTGACTCAGACGCTCGTTCCTCGCAGAGAAAACCTCCTCAGGCCAGATCAGGGTTCAGGACATGAACGTCTCCAATGGTCCAATTAGAGTAATGAAGCTGAGCTGGGGGGAGTCTGAGGTATCTGAGCTGACACTTCCTGTCTAAGCTGCTCAGTGAAGACTCAAACACGACAAAATTTAAAATAAGTACAACACATAAGTAAAATGTATTAAAATGTGTAAAATTTGAAGTTATGGAATCAAAGTCTTGTTTTAATGTCACAAGTTAAAGATTTTCTGGTGAAAATCCAGAAATCTAATGGTTAAAATTGATTAAGTCTTTACAGTTCTCATCATCCTAAGATTCGGTGATATGACGCGATAACAACATAACCTAACATCGTGACCATCAACCATCGCAGCAGTGAAGCTTCCACGCTCGCAGGGGGACACTCTGATTGGTTGTTTTCAGGGGGCGGGTCAGGTGTGATAGGAGGAGCCTGAAATGATGTCACTCCTGAAGGGAACATTTCAGTTCATCTGTTTGTTCTCACGTGACAGCTGCAGGTTGACGAGGGTTTCGCCTGTTGACCGTCTTTTATCGAGCTAAACAGGCTTGACGGCCGTGTGTGTGTGTGTGTGAGATTAAAGAAGAAGCTTATTGTCATTTTATTTCTGTTCAAACCTTTTCCTTCAAACTAGATCAAAATCAATCAGTCAATCAAATTGTATCTGTACAGCTCATTGTCTCACAGGTCTTAACAAGGTGCAACATCCTCTGTTCTTAACTCGACAAGAGTAAAACATTCATCTCCATCATCATCATCTTCGTCTGATAAAACCTGTCTCATAATTTGAGCGTCATGTGACCAGTTGAGGTGGACAATGGAGATTTTCATTGGTTAAACAGGTGTAAACTGTTAAAACTAAATTTTCTCCGACTTGTTGCTGATGTTTTCTTCTGGTCTCGTCTCTGTCTTCTCATTGGTCCACTCCTCTAATACATATTAATGATCTTTTTCCTATTTCTGTTCCCACGGCGGTGGGCATCATCATTCATCCACCTTTTTGTCGAGCAGCTGTATGGGTTAGTCGCCTCTGAGCCGACACGACCTTGTTTGCAGTTGGATTACCAAACTTTGGTTGCGTGTGTGTCTGTGGGGGGGTGGGGGGTAGCCATGGGGAGGACCCCCTGTCGGCCAGGAATGTTAGTCAGGTCAGGGGAGGGGAGGCGGGAGAAGCAGGGGGACACTCAGGGATGGGGCAGGTGCCTTTGTGAGTCCTGCCAACCATCAAAGACGCCGCAGCGCTGAAAAGGTTAGCAAAGGAGAATAATCCCCCCTCAATATCCAGCCCCCCAAATCCAAATATCCTCCCAGAGCCTCCGGCTGACACCTCAACCTCCTCCGTCTGTTACTCACCGAGTCAACAAAAATCAACAAGAATAAAATAAACAAAATGAAAATTCACCAAACGAGAAAAATTCAACATTGAATCAACAACAACACAGAAAAATCAATAAACATTAAAGTAAAACAGTCAACACAATCAACAACAATCACAAACTTTTGATAAAAATCTCCCAAAAAAATCCATTAATTATATAATTTCATTTGTTTTAGTTGGATCTTGTGAATGTGTCGGAGCTGATGTTCGGTTAGTGACCATTGGTTGTACACTACTTTTCATGATGCATTATGGGAAACAATGAGTGCACTATACAGGGTAAAAAATTGTCACTAAACATTGGGACAGAACTAAGAAATGATGAGCTCACTGTAAAGTAAACTATGAAGACACATCGTCTCGGGAAGATTATTCTCAGAAACTAAAACCGACTTTTACAGGTAAATCTGTGGGTAATCAAAAATATTATATAAATAAAAGAATTGAAAGAGTTTGATTGAGCTAAAATATTTTTTTAACATGATCATAAAAAGTGTTGAAAGATGTAAAATGTGTTGAAACATTAAAAACACGACAGTGACTGAGTCAAAGGTTCATTTGGTTAAAATGTTAAAATGAGCTAACAGGATTGTCCTGCTCTGTACTCGATTCCTCTGCGGTGTCGGGGGTGTTTAGGTAACAGGCGCCCCAGAATTCGGTCGACTCCATGTGTCAATTTTATTACATCGGTCCAGATGAACTTGAAAGGGGGCTTTGTGTTAGCTTGTCTCTTATTGGCTGTTGTGCTGCGCTCGCAGTGACACGCTCAATAGAGGTCACTGATGTGTGTCACGATTAGGTCGATCAAATTACACATGAAGCTCGTTAGCGTCTGCATCACTTCATACATGGATTCAGATGTTACCACGACGATGATGATGTGACAGGAAAACAGGCGTAAACAGGTCAATCGATACCTCGCTGTGATCTCGTCCGCTCGCAGTCAGACATGAAGATAAAAACTCGCTAAAACCATATTAATGTTTGTCGAGCATAAACATCACAGACACTGAGGTCTAGGCTTCCATTCTTTGTGCTATGCTAGGCTAACAGATATACTGCTAACAGATATACTGATAATGAGTATTGACACGAGTACGTCGTATCTGTACTTAAGTAAAACTACTTAGTTACTTTCCTATTATTACTAGTTCACCTCCCCCTCTCTTGACAGAACTAGGCGACACAGTGGAGATGGGTGTGTGTGTGTGTGTGTGTGTGTGTGTGTGTGTGTGTGTGTGTGTGTCATCACCGTGACGAAGATGGAACAAAGGCGGCAATAAGATGGCTTCCTGTCCCCTGTTCCCTAAACGGCCCACAATCCTCTTTGGCCCCAAATCTAGGTTAAATGCAAATTGATACCAGACAATAATGACCATCCGACTTATGTATATGTGCAGCAGACCAGAAGAGGATTCAATCAGACGAGTCCGCGGCCGCTGGGGCCCCTGTCCACTCACCGACAAAAAAGATTGAGTCAGTGAATCAGAGCGGACAAAGATGTCACTCAAACTTCACGTCTTTTTTAAATGTGATTTAAAAGTTTGGCTGAATTTTGCGTTTCTGACCTCGTTCTCCTGTGATCACCATGGGAACGCCACCCTCCTTCATCTTCTTGCTATATCCATTTTTATTTATCAATGCAAGGATGATTCTGTATCAGCTCCGTTACATGATGAGAAATATTTCAAAAAAAAATTCTGAGTAATTTTAGAGAAGAAGAAAAGAAAAATTCAAATGGTATCGTTGGATGACGAGTTGTCTGGATGTTTCATCACAGCTGCTGAACATCAATATGAGTGTGAACAGGGTGCTGATCAATAAATCATCAATAGCTCATCAATAGTACATTAATAGATAATGAATAGATAATGAATAGACTGTAAAAAGATACAGATCCTCAATAGATGGTCACTACAATAGTTCACACCTGAACTTATAAATGTTTTCTTTATCAAGTTTGTCACATGTTTACAAACACAATCAGGTTCGAACAATTCAACGGCTGATTCTTATATTGATACTCTACCAATATCATCAATAATCAAACCATCGTTTTACGTGAGATCCTGAAATGTAACAAATGATTCAAATGATTCGCTGTTGATCGACTTATTGATTAAAGTGATTGAAGATCATCACTGTGAAATGATCTGTGACACTAAACACACATTCTCACACAAACACACACACTCACAAAAACACAGAAACACACACTCACAAAAACACAGAAACACACACTCAGTTTCCTCTTTTCTTTCTGTCAGGCTGGAATCTGCTGACATGTTGTCGACCTCATCACCAAACTTCTTCTTCCATTTCTGAGAACACAGACACACACACACACACACACACACACACACACACACACACAC